TGGGGAATTTCTCGCAAATGGGGTGCAACAAGCAGAAAGGAACCCATTGGTACTTTATTGATTTTGAGTTAAAGTCACGCCTATATGAAATCTGCCTCGGTGAACATTGTTAACTTAGAAACCATACCCACTTAGCTTAATAGACTTTCCTTTAAAGTTGTAAAAACACTCTAGTCAAATGCAGATCCCTTTCTGCTTGTCGCATCCCAAAACTTTTAGGAATTTGAATCAATTGACGGATTTGAAACATTGGTTGAAGTATGTCCTTGGAGAACGTGGTGAAAATGTAAATAAATAAATTAGTTTGTGTGATAAACATTTTATTAATGTAATTAATAAAAACAAATGAATGTTATATATGTGTGTATAATTTGAAGTATATAATAATGTCTAATGCTTTTTAGGCATAAATAATAATTATAATTATGTATAAATAAACAAAACGGAGGGAAAAGTGGGGCTTATGTGCAATGATTGTAGAAAATAATTTCACAAACCAATTAATTATAATCGAGAATTTAAAGTTGGTAGCTCGCTCACTTAGATATTTGTACTGTGACAAACGCATCTAGTATTCACTGGTCAAAAATTTTGATTTTGACAGGAAATTGATTCATTCTACAAATTTAGAAAAATTAGTTAAAGGAATTAATTAATATTAATATTCTTCATACAATAACCGCGTTTATTGAACAAATTCTTTCGTGTAACAATATGAAAATTATTTAAACACGTAAAGATCTTGTAGAATTTTATTACTTTTACTTGGATTGACGAAAATGATACTGTTGTTTCTTATATTTGGCGTGATCTACATTTTATTTATCATACAGCAAATGTTTGATTTCTTAATAATTGTGAGTGACAGAGCACAATGATGCACATTTGGGGCATACTGCAATAAAATGAACATTTTAATTTGTATGGTGCGGGTTACCCTAACACATCAAATAACTTTAAATCTAAAATAGAGAAATATTATGCTTGTCTAAAAAAAAATTAGAGATGATATTGATAGCTATTGACTCGTTCTAGAACCTATTGTTGAGAAAATTTTATATGTAACATATAAAAACACCTATCTAGCTTTAAAGTTGATCAATTTTTATTTAATGTGTTAATGTGACTCACTATACTACCAAAAATTTCAGAGTTCAAATGAATTTCATTCTAATATAAATTTCTTATTATTATGTGCAATGTTGTAGTTTCAAATGTTTATGTGTCATTAAACAATATAATCGTATCAACCAATAAACCTATCAATCCATATCTAACATTCTGACATAAATTATGAATTTTCTTTTATGAAATAGCTGTGTTTCTAGATCCTAAATCAAGACTAATCTGATTCATTCAAAGAAATGTGTTCCTTTTTGCATGTGAGTCTGTATATATAAATTATTTAAAGCAGAATCTATATATTCTGATATTACTCTAAAAGATGACTATTCTAATATAAATTTCATTGTTATGCAATATCTTATATACTAAAGTCTATTTAAGTTCATTTACATATTTATATAATTTTAATTTTTAATTTTTAAATCAGAATTTTTTCCATTAAAACTGGAATCAGGATGATGCAAATGACTGCATTTTTTACCAAAATCATAGAGTACATTTTCAATAACTTTCCATGCCTTCAAATGCCAATTGGAAGTTACTCACGCTATTAAATATTCCACATAGAACCTTTTTTGCTCTCTTACATGTGAGCAATTTAATGGTTTCCAGCACAGAGGTAGATTAGTAGATTGGTTGAAACAGACCAAGCTCCTCATTTTAGAATTTTTCGTATGCTTCGTCATCAACATACTCTCCACACTCTCACTCTCGTCTACGATCTAAGCTGATAAAATTTTCCCGTTTGTTTCACAGAAGTTTGATTATAATTGGACATGTGACATTTATAAAAAAAACTTTTTTTCATCATTTTAAATATAAAAGAAGGTATGTATTATTGAACTTTATTTATTCATTGATCTCAGTTAGTTTATTCTATTAATTATTTAATCCTTTATTGTTCTAAATATTCGTTCATTATTAATTCTAGATCTCTCTGATTTAGTTTTTTTTTTTTGAAAATGGCACAAGTACAAGCTGTTCAAACCTATGGTCGTAAGGTTTGTAATAATAATTGATACAGTGACAAGAGCAACATCAAATAATTTAATTAAAATTTATTAAATTATAAAATTTCTAATTTACCTTCATCATTTCATTTGTTTTTAGAGAACTGCAACTGCGGTGGCACATTGTAAAGCCGGCAAAGGTTTAATCAAGATCAATGGATCACCATTACATTTAGTTGAACCAGAAATTTTGAGATTCAAAGTCTATGAACCAATTCTAATCCTAGGTCAAGATAAATTTGCTAAAGTTGATATTAGAGTACGTGTAAAAGGTGGTGGTCATACCTCACAAATCTATGCGATTCGTCAAGCTATTGCAAAATCTATTGTAGCATATTATCAAAAGTATGTTGACGAGGCTCAAAAAAAAGAGATTAAAAATACTTTGATTCAGTATGACAGAAGCTTGTTGGTATCTGATCCTCGTCGTTGTGAACCTAAAAAGTTTGGTGGTGTTGGTGCTCGTGCAAGGTTTGTATTATATTTTTATGATGAATTTTAAAATTATTGCACACATGCACATATATATCTATATTATTTTTATATTAATTTATAATATCTTCTTTAGATACCAAAAATCTTACCGTAAATATATTATAATTGTTATTGTTGTTATTATTTTCTAAATATTAACTAATATTTTCTTCTTTCCCCTTCTCATATAAATAGGTTAATTTTTATATATTATGAGAAGGAATTAATCATAGAATTAAAAAATAATAACAATAATAATATTTATGAATTAATATCTACATATATAAATTATTTTTATTAATTCAAGTGAATTTCATTATACCAGCCAAAAATATGTATGTTGCCACGTGAAGTCTATTGATAACCGGATAATCTGTTATTGCACTTTTGATCAATTATTGCAGTTATTGCCTTCTTCAATATGTACAAATAAATATATCCTCAAACCAACAATATAATTCTTTTATTTGCGCTTCATGTGATGTTTAGAAGGCCTATTGCCTAACTTTCAATTTTCATCAATATAATAGATTAAAGATATCCTTGGAAAAATTTTAATGGAAAATTTAGTGTAAAAGCATACAGTCAAAGCTTGTTATGGACACTTGATTCCAGGAATTTTTGTCCACTATAACGAATTTCCACTATAAAGAAAAATCTCTTTATAGTGGACTTATTATAAATAAATTGAAAAGTCCCTTATAACGAGATCAAATTTTATTAATGTACAACACATATATACGTAGTAAATAAAAACTGTCCAACATAAGTTGTTTTGCATTATCCTGAACACGTTTATGAATTTTTAATTTTAAACTATTAATCATTTTTAATTCTTGATAGCTAATTGTAAAGTTATATGGTGGATTTTTTAAATATTGAATCACTTTTTCTAAACTATTTAATGCCTCTTTATCAGAAATAACCATCATTTCTACTTCTTCCACTTCATCAGAATCATCAACCTTGGGATTTGGTTCCTAATAATTTCTTCATCATTAAAAAAGAGGATAACGTACAAAAATTAATTTATTGTTAAAAAAATTAACCAAGACAGAATACTTTATTACCGCCATCAAAAAAGGATAATGCACAAATAATTTTGTTAACACATTGATTGCCGTTTAGAAACCACATTAACATTAACCATTAATGTAAAAGATTGCATGATTTCCACTATAACGAACTATATCAAAATTTTTAAAAGTCCATTATACACAATAAAGAGGTTTTATTAAAAAGTCCACTATAACGAGCAAATTTTATTATAAAGAGAATTGGGGAAATAAAAAAAGTCCACTATAGGCAAAATCCACTATAACGCGATCCACTATAACGAGCTTTGACTGTATAAACATTGAATTGGAATCCAAAGGTTCTTTCTCGTCTCAACTGTAAGAACAAGGGGCAAATTTGAAACATAAACTCTTTCCTAGCCATCGCATATTGGGGTGTGAGATGCCCTGATTAAATCAAAATTAGTTGATGTAACATAATGCCGATCAATAACAAACTTTTTTTTAAAAAATAAGAATATATGTAAAAACTATATAAATAAAAATCGTATCAGAGCCTTCAAATAAAGAGATACAGACATGAAACTAAGAGAAATTATAGTAAATAGATTAAGCTTTTAGATTACAGAGAGTTTTTTTTTTGCTAAATAAAAAAAAAATTTTTTTATATATTCTAAAGAAATTGAAAAAAGATTGCTAATAGGAAAACTTTATAACCAAATGAGATAGGAAAAAAAGCTCTCTGTAACTTTATTATAGAAGACTTAAACAATAAAATTATAAAAAGTTTTGTTTAATTTTATTATAAAAAAAAAAAGTTATCATGGTTTAAAATTATTCAATTTATTATTAAATTTTACCATAAAAATTTACATTGCAACTGATAAATTAATAGAAATTTCTTTTTATAATTCATATTTTCAAAAAAATATATTGTTAGTTGAATTTTGTTGTCAACATTTACAATGTATTGAAATATATGATAAAGATACTAAAAAAATCCGCACATAATAATTTGTTATATTGATGTAACATATGTTTGATGATCAACCGCCATCGAACACCACAATGACATATCAACAAAAAAAATGAAGATGTAACTTTGTAGAGAAAGGTCTTAGTGTTAGCTTCAAAATTACATCTTGATTTTTTTGGTCATGCTACGCCAGTTTTTCTTTTCTTTTTTCTATTTTAAGTTACATTGTCACACTTGATCTGCAACAGTGTCCACTATGCTTACTATTATTAGGTTCATTATTATTATGCTGTAGTACCAAGTTGGTGTAACAAAAAATTTGTAATAATCCAAGGTATATATAATATTATTAATGTAATCTTTTTTTTATACTCTACAAATAATTTTTAAAATTTGAAAATGGTATTTATATTAATAAAAAAATTAATTTTTGTTAACTCCAATTGTCAACACTAAAGACTTAATTATTTTAATAGGGAGTTGAAATTCAAACAATTAAAGTTTGTAATCATTTCAATATGTTGTTCAAATAAAATGCTGCAATAAATTAATAAATTATTTTTTTCTCTTAAATAACCTCAGGAAGGTGATGGAAGGGTTTGTAATTTTATAATATTATCAAAAAAATACAACTAATTATTTTTATCGATTAAATTGTCCTTTTTTTTTAATGTCAATTAATTATTTATTTTTTGTTAGAAACCAAAAGCGGTATTTAATTTAAGAATCAATTTCTTCATTTTTAATTACACTATATTGATGTATCATTTTTTACTTTATTATTCAGGGGTCCATTGTTGTGATTGAATGTAAAATTATAATTAATTGTTTTTCATAACGCCCTCTTAATTATGATTTATTATTTATTTCTGATAATTGACTATTATTGTTGCTTAGATGTTGGAAAATTGACTAATGGTAAAATATTCGATCAAAATAAGAAATTTCAATGCCAAATAGGTGTTGGTAAATTAATCACAGGTTAGTAATGATAAATAGATTTTTACTATTATTTGTTATGTTGTTTGTTTTATTATTAAATAAATTTTTATTATTATTAGGTTGGGATGAAGGTATATATCGACATTACGTACATTATAAATAATTTTAATTAAAGATATATATAAATATATTTAATATTTGAATTCTTTAGGAATTCCTCAATTAAGAGTTGGAGAAAAGGCTATATTGACAATCTCTCCTGATTATGGATACAAGGAAGCCGGCGTTCCTGGACTTGTATGTAAATTTAAATAAATTAATTTACTTATTGATTTTGACAATATTATATATTTCCCGGTTTGTTTAATAATATCATTAATACATATTAATATTAATATTTAATCAAAATTAGATTCCGGGAAATTCAACTTTGATTTTGTAAGTAAATTGCGTACTTTAGTAATTTCATTAATGATTTTGAATTAATTTAATTTTAAAAATTTTTTATTTAATAGTGAAGTTACATTGAAAGAGATTATAAAATATTAATTCAATTTAAAAAATTTTTTTGAATCTCATTATTATTTATTGGCATCAGAATAATAATAAAAAATATATCAATATTAATATCCACATTCTTACATGGTAATTTGTTAGTTATATGAGTCCAAGTTTTTTCGATCATCTTGGTAAAAATGAATCATTTTCTTGTATGTCATGTATTGATGATGACTTGGCAGCTTTTGTCACCATCGTTACCATTTCCCAGCTGTCAAAGCTGAGTCCAATAATTTTCAAGAACTTTAGAATAAAAAAAAGCTTGCCATTAACATTGTATATAATATTTATTTTCAGGAAGTACCATCGGCGAATATTGGATGCTTTCCTTCAAAATTACATTACTTATTCATATTAAAAGAAAGACATGAATATTTCATATCGATATCTGTACTCTTATTCAACAAAGAAGTAGAGGCTAAATTATTTACAAAAAAAAACTGTATAATAATATAATTTATCGCTAAAAAACACCTTGATTAAAAAAAATTTTCACAGTTGAATTTTATGATAGTCTAATTTTTTTTAAATTATATAATACAAACAAATATTAAAGATACAAATAAGTATTTAATAGCAGTAATTATTTATTATTAATTTAAGTTTATGTCCTTCATAATTGTTTGATCTTTTAAATGGCAATGTAATATTGGAAATATCATTGAATGCATGCATGACATGAATCAATACTTTTATCTGGATAATCAAAAGTATTACTGAAAATACTAGAATCATCAATACTAGTATCACTTTAAATTGCATCTTGATCATTATTCATCAAGTCACATGTATTATCTGCTCCAGTAGTAACTGGGTGGGTTTTACTTATAACATTTACCGATTTTGAATCTGTAATATCTGGAAGAGTAAGTTTGGTTATAGTAATCCTTTGATTTTCATTTTGCAATCTATAACAATTAGTCCAGTAAATAGAACAATGTAAAGTTATGTTCTCCTATAATAAATATAAAAATACATTACAAATTAAAAAAAACCACCCATTTAAAATATTAAAATTACCATCGTTATTTTGTAAATTTAGAATTTAATAGTTTTTTTGTAGTGGAAAAAGTTACAATAGTATAAATAAATTACTTTTAGAATGATACCATAGAAATAAATAGCATTCTCAGAAGTTTATGCTCTTGGAAAGATTGTTTATCTCATAACCACAATACAGAGGCTTCTATATACATGGGCCTTCTGGTTAGGAAAGTCATATACTTTGTGTCATATTGCTAAACGGTTGTGGAAGAATTACCAGATACATTCATATTAGTGTTCCATGTCGCAATCCAAAAAAGGAAACAAAATGGTTGTAAAGTCAGTTGCAATCATTTTTATATGACGCAAAGATGGTAGCAACCATCATCAAAAGTTGCAGCCGGTATCCTTAATCCATATGAATGTCAGTGACATGCTCTCTCAACAAGAATGAGTTACCAACAAACATTATAGTTAGTTGGATGGAAGATGTAATGTGATGGAAGCTAATGATTTTGATTTTACTAATACTAACAGTCTAGCATTAAATATTCCTTAAATTTTGGCGGTTAATAAAATTTGGAGGAGCTGGTCAAAATAACTATATTGGGAATATTTTTAAAATTGGTGTTTATGAAAAATATCCCAAGCTTCTCGATTATTTACGTACGTGACCGCGTCTATCATATCTCAAAAGTTGATTGGTGGAGCCCAAAATATATTAGCACCATCCAGAAATCATCTCTTTCTTCCTTTGCGTCTTTCAGCCTCCATGGTTTTTGTAATAATGGAAATGAAAAATTTCTCACTATGTATACTTGATTATGATCAATAATCCATCAGTCAATTACCATGAACGAAACTAATTAAATTTTTTTGAAATCCCATTATTACTTAGCAATATTTAAAAACTACACAAACAATGATCATTATTCCTGTTTTAGGAAGCTAGGAATGATCGAGTCTTTGTAATTTTTGTCAAGAAAACCCTCATAAAGTTATCATGACAACTTAAGTTGCTTGTTTATATTAAGAAAAAGTGAGATATAGCCGCTCTCACTCACAATAGACTCTACAAATCTTTTAGTTAAATAACGAGGCATTATAAGTTAATGGATTTTCTACTTTGTGAATTCTAGTTTACTGTTTGGATTGTGTGCAAAAATACTTCTTACATGTTGTTAATCTGCAAATACAACCACACCTGATCCTAAATCTCAATTAAAAAAAATCTACTAGCTTTGAAAAATGCTGTCCAAGTGATTCAGCTAATTCAAAATTAAAGGTCATTTAACAAATAAAGAGCTTCCGATAAGAAAAATTACCATAACCAGAAAAAATATTTCATACGAATTCTAGCTACATCCACCGGCATTCGTTGTGTTTTTTTTAAGGCAATAATCTTTTTCTTGTAAATTTTTGCTTTTTTTTGGAGCATCCATTTTATATGTATATTATTGATTTGATATCAGCTACACCATAATAATAAACATAAAAAAAAAACTATCGTCATCGTCATCTCCCCAACTACTTCCACTGCTTGCTTTATGAAACCATCACCACGCCTACCACCACAACTAACTTGTTTACAAAAATCCAAGTCAAAAAATAAAAAAATAATTGCTCTTTTGAGAATCAGAAACCTATACCATTTGTTCTACAGTTCGATAGTATTTAGAACAAAAGAAAGAAAAACCGGCGAATTTTTTTCAGAATAAGAAACTAAAAAGATTCAAGGAAAAATCTTACTTATAAAACTGTTACCAGAAAAACTCTGGCCATGAAATGTATAAATTTGAAATTTTTTATTAAAACAATAATATGTAAATATATTCTACAGAATAAACCAACATCAGAAGTTGAAAGATAACAACGATTTCTGAGCTGATAAAGAAAATCATAATCTTGGAAAAATAATTAAGGAACTATATAGAAGAGCAGCTATGTTGTCTAAAATAGAAGAAATCAGAATCAATTTACATTTTTAAAGAAAATGTTTATAAATACATAAAAATTATAAAACCAAAAAATAATATACAATAAAATTAATTAATTAATTCTACCAATCAACTACCTCCTAATTCTATTTCGTAATTTTACACCAACTTCGTATTTTTTGGTGGTTAAAGAAGGTGTAATAAAGTGACTTATATCTAAATCCTGATTTGGGATTAATTCAAATTCGAAATTTAGTAATAAACTTGCCAAAATTAACCTTAATTCCATCCAAGCAAATGTTTGTCCTATGCAATTTCTTGTTCCTGCTGAAAATGGATAAAATCCTTTTTGAAATGATGATGCAAAATCGGATTTTTTTGAATCAGAAATTGTTGTCTTTGGTTTAATTCCAAACTCGGATTCTAAAATATAACCATTTTTATTATTATCAACTCCACTAAAGATCCATCTTTCAGGTACAAAATCGTCAGCATCAACACCCCATATGTCTTTCGCTCTATGTACTTGATATATCGAAGCACTGACTATTGTATCTTTGGGTATTAAATATCCATCAATTATAGTATCTTGACGTGTTTGTCTCATAATACCAGCTAACGCGACAGGAAACAATCTCAATATCTCATTCAACACTGAATTAAGATATATGAGGTTTTTTAAAGAATCATGCGTTGGAGTTATCAATAAGCCATTTGGTTTTGATTGTTGTTTTCTGCCTTCGCCATCATCGTCATTTTCTTCCGACGGGTAGATTGAATCAAGTTCCGAAACCAATTTTCTTAATTTCTCAGGATGGTTTAATAATACTATGAGTGCCATGTTTGCTGTATAACCACTAGTATCACTACCACCTATTAAGAATTCCATGGTTTGATCTTGTATTTCAAGTTCTGACAATGGATTTCCTGTTTCGTTGTCACGCGTGTCGATCAAAATTTGTAATAAGTCATCACGTTTTCCACCCTTGGCATTCAATTCTTTTCTTTCTTTGATGATATTTGAAATAAACTGAAAATTTAAATTTTTTTTACCTTTTTAGTATGTAAAAATAAAACTAAAATAGACAAAAAAGAATTTATATATGTTTACAAACCTCATAAGTCCAAGGATCTTTTTTAAAAAATGGTCTCATGTAAGGAAAAGTGTGGCACATTACACGTCTTTTTAATTCTAAATATATTTTCATCGGTAGTGGATGCATACCTTTCTCAACCAAATGAAACGATTCACCAAATGCTACTTCCCCGATAATATCCAAAGTACAGGCTTGTATTAATCCATAAATATTAATTATAGAATTTGTAGCGTTGGAATTTTCATTGGTAGTTGTTTTAATTATTGAATTGATTTTTTTTACTAATGATTTTGTGCAAGAGTTCATTAATGGCTCGAGTGTTGATATGTATCTAATGCCAAATGCTGGTGATAATGAACGTCTCTATAATAAATTAAATTAAACCAGATTATTATTATTATTATTTCAAGCCATAATATAATATAATATTATTCTAATTATTTTTAAATTGCTTACACGTTTTTTATGGAAAGTTTTGTTACTATATATAAAAATTTAATTAATTAATTTTAGTTACTTGTAAATATAAAAAGAATATTTAAATAAATATTTACATTGCGGAAAATAATGTTGAAATATTTTGCTCGTTTCTAATCCCTCTAAGAGAATCACTTTTTGTAAGATCCTATTGATTAATATATATACAGATAACCATGTTAGAAAGAAGTATTTTTTTTTTGCCGTATTAAAAAAAAGCATGCTTACATCGACGACAAGGATTTGTCTAATAGCTTCTTTGCTAGAAAACAAAACATGATTTGGCGCGACTCTAACAGCACCCCCGTACTCTTGATGTAATTCCCAAAACCATTTATAAACCTTGCCATGCGGTCTTCTCAAAATAATTGGCAAGTTGGAAATTTTGGCAAATTTTGGTCCAGGTATTTTGCATAAAGGCGTAAATGAATAATTGTAAACGAAATTGTAAATTGTTTTGAGGGCCAAGAAAAATAACAAGTAGTATATTAATTGTAAAAAAATTTGTAATGTTTCTAGTTTTCCTAATACTAAGGAGGATAAAGGAGAAAATGGTAATAATGATAATAAATTGTTCATGTTGATGTTTTTGATGTATTTGAAGGGAATTTAAAAATAAGTTTAAGAAAAAGCAAATTGTCAAAAGGTAAAAAAAAAATTCAATTTTATTTATAAACTTATTATTCGAGTGAAAATATTTACGCGTAGGATTATTAAAAAAGCATCAATACATACGATGATAAAAATGATGGATGTTTGGTAGTGAATTAAATTAATTCATTGATTACTTGTGCTTTAATTTGTTATTTATTTAGTTATCACATTCATCCAATAATACCACTCAATCACACCATAGTAAGTAGTATATAGCTATTTTCTTTATTATATATACAAATTGTTAATATAAATGTGGTTTGATCAACTTAAATATACGCTTTTTAAAACTAAAATTGTTCAATAAAAAAACTTTCTTGTTTTAATAATCGGCGTTTCAAATAAAAATCCGATTCCAAAAAAAAAATTGCCATTGAATAGTTTCGGGAATTATAATCACTTGCGTACATAATATCAATAAAAGAAGTAATTAATTGCTGTTACAATGAACGTTTATTTTCATTGAGTGTTTATTAAGTAAATCAATGAAGATTTTATTTATTTTGAGAAATCCACAAACTCGAGCAGTGAAGGAGGAGACATAAGATTTGTAATAATAATAATCATAATAAATTTAATAAATATAAGTTACGGCCGAACTAAAATTTTTTTTTTAAAGTTAAAAAACCTTGGTGAATTTGATGATTTTCAGTCATTTTCATCGTTTGGTTTAGGTGAATCCAATAAGGAAAATAAAATGATCCTATCTATCCAAATTTGGTATCTTTTTTATAATTAAAAATAGGTTTATATTAAAAGTTATATATGGATAATCACATAATAATAACTTTTCATTTCATTTGTATTACAATTATTGTAAATCTATATATAAATATTGTCAAAACCTCTACCTATAAATAGTAAAGCCTTTAATGTAGCAAATCAATTCATGAAGTGGAACATTAGGACATTGCAGATCAAGTGTCAAGACAAAATTTTATTATTAAAACTGGCTTTCTAATGATTGCTATTCAAAAGTTTTCATTACTTCTTTTTTGAAAAATAATTTAAGTTTTCATATGGATGGGTATTACTTTATGTAGTTGTGGCAGAGACATCGGTCTTTTTACCCAAAATAGAAAACTTGAGATTTTCTTCCATTTTTATTAATAACCATGATTTTTCTAGGTGTATGAAGTATATTATGTTTCAAATTGAAGTTTTGACCCCTTGAAAGTGACAAATGTCCTGCGACTATATTCACAGCTCACAAGGCTTATAATTTACTCCATTACAAGAAAATCTTTCTTATTCTATATAATATATATAATAATATTTTTTTTCTTTGAAAGGTTTAACTTAAAACATAAGTGTCTCAAATATAATGAATGGCACACTAAAAGCGGGGGTGGAATGAGAATAAGATTGTAATGACAGTGGTGGCATAAGAATAAAATTATTCTCTCGTGCATATTAATATACTTAATATATTTAATAATAATAATAAAACCAACTTTCGCCATGCTCTTGTGACCCATCGCGTGATACTAATAAAAATTATTGATATTAACTACAACAACAACAATAATAACAATAGAATAATTTCCTTGCTTAAATATCCATTAATTAATAAAATTTAAACAGTATACCTTATTCAAAATAAGCAGTATTAATTAGTATATCTTTAAACTCAATTTGAATTTCGTTCAAGTAAAATAACTATATTTAATTTTTGAAAAAAAAAAAAAAAAAAAGAAAAAATTCGCGACGGTTAATGGCTTTTCTTTTAATTAAACCACAATTATAATAGTTACGCGTCTTCAACACACACGCCAATCATTTTTATTATTATCCATCATTAATTAAGAGTTTTCGTGACATCTTTATTTTTTTGATCAGATTTAAGTGTGTCACTCACATTCACTCATTCACTTGCAAAAGATAACAATGGAAATAATTCGGCCGAGTTTTTTGTTTTAAGAACAACAACAATTAGTATGTATGTATTACCTGATCTGATACGCAATGTAAAAGATTAAAATAATCTCTTGGTATTTACTTTTTTTGATATTATTCGGCCGAAAACTTCTTCTATTATTAGCTTTTATCTTTACAAAAAATTGTACCAATACATATATATATTTCGGCCGAACTTTGTATTTTTGGTTTCTTTTCTTCTATTATTATTACTATTATTATCATCCAGTTCGGCCGGAAAAAAATGATATTCATAACAATGCTAGTAGAGTTCAATATATATAAAATACATGTATGAAAAAATTTTCAGACAGGTCAAGCCACAACATAGTAATAGTGGCTGATGGGCAAGAAAGAAAGACGGATGAAGTGAAAATCATTCAACAATAGCAATAAATAAATAAACTTAAAATTAAATTTTTATTTACTAGCTTTTATACGATATCATTACCCTTCAATGAATTAATTATATGTAACAATCTCTTTGCTTCCTCTTTTGCCTATAATAATAAATAAAACAATCAAAACGATAAATAAAGCAACCAAAAAGAGGAGTGGGTAAAAATCAAACATATCATTAACAAACTTACTGTTCCGCCATATTCCAATAAGTTACGTGCATGATGTGTTGCAGCTAGTAAATTTCCTTTATCTTTTTGATAAAAAGATAAAAATGTATGTGCACATTTAATATCTTCTGTATCTATAGCCAACTAATAACATATACACACACACACATAAAACAGTATAAATAAAAATAATATAATAATAAACGCAAAACAGTACACATACACACATATGTATATTAGAATAAAAGACTTACATCAGATCTAACCAATATTGAAGTATGAAATTCAGCAGCTTTATCAGGATCAATCTTTTCATATAATTTTGCCAATCTTGTAGTGGCAGTAGTAGCAGAATTAACATCGATATCTGTGACTGAAAGTGCTCTATTAAAAGCTTTTATTGCTTCAGGATAAAGTCGCTGTTGCTCATATATTGAACCTAATCTTATCCACATTCTAGCATCATTTGGTCTATCAAAAGAAAAACAATATTGCTATAATTATTAATGTAATCAAGTAAGTTAATTAATGTATTAACAAGTCACACTATATATTTTACCTTAAAGCACTAGATCTTTTATAATAATAAATTGCATAAAAAGGCATTTTTAACATCTCGTATGTTTGGCCTATTCCAACCCATGCTCTATAATCTCTAGGGTTCACTTCTAAATAGTATATATTTATATATTATTATTTTTAATAACAATAAATTTATTAAATTCATTAAATAAAATATTGCTTGCCCAATGCCCTTTTGTAAGAAAGAACTGCTGCATGAGTATTTTTTAATTCAACAAACTCATGCCCCATCAATGTCCAAGCTGCTGTACAGGATCTATCAATTTGTAAAGCTCTTCGAAAATATGAAATGGCCTTTTCTCTCTCCGATTTAGAACTATAATAATTTCCTTGATTAAAACAAAAAAATAAATTAAAACAAAAATAAATTTTACAAATAGATAAAAATTTTAATATAATAATTTACCTATAACACACATAGTTTCAGCTCTGAATTTATCAGTTGATGATGTTATATGTGCTAGAAAACTTAATTTTGCAGATTTTCCTTCCATCACATACAATATATTTGAATATAAATCCATTTGATCAATTCTAAATGGATCTTTGGTTAAAAGATTACTAAAAATTTCCTCTGCTTCAACATAGTCTAAAGTAGTGATAATGATTTTATTATTTTATTATTTTAATTGTGTGTTATTGATTTTAATTTTAATTACCTCCAGCATTATATAACAAAACTGCTTTTTCTGTTTGTAAATAATTATTATTTGCAAAAGGTTTTGGAAATTCTGATATTAGATCATTTAGTGATTGTGGTTTCTCTAATAAGTCTACACACATATGAACTCTAAAAAATCGAGTCATAAAAGTGTTGGGTAATTTAGATAGAATATTATTAAGCTAAATAATGTAATAATAAATTATTTTCATTAATATCATTTTTTTGAAAAAGAAATATATATTAATTATTTTTAAATAAATACCATGTCTTGATTTGATATACAAGATGCCAATTCTAGCCATGCACTCCAATTATAATGGTATTTACAAATAGATTCTATGAATATATCTATAATATTCTCTGATTGTGGATTTAGTTGTTTTAAAAGCAATCCATAACTAATTGAAAATATTTGATTATTTTACAAAGTAATCTTAAACAACAATAAATTATTATTATTCAAACAAATTATTTTTTTTCCATATAAATAATCTAAATAATCTATAAATCAACCCACAGATACGTTAGAAATCCATCTAATCCTCCCTCTTCATGCCATGATTCTATTTCTTCCCAAAGTTTTAAAATTTCTTTATTCATAACTTTTGAATCATCCAAAGGTCCTATAAAATTTTCAAAATTAAATGTTAATATTAAAAATAAATATATCCAAATAACCATATTATACAAACCCATAATGTCATTACTTTCTTCCGTTTTTCTTTTTTCGCCAGCCTAAACAATTTACCAAAGTTCTGACATTAAGTATTAAACTAAACATTTTGCAAAGCATTCTTCACTATTTTTGCCCTTCTCCCCACTACATACGCACACATTTTCAAATTAAAAAATCAATTAAATATTACTACCATGTATTTTGAATATATTTTAAGAAATCGGCATTTTGATGATTTACATTCTTCCAAAAAATAAGCTGCTCTATCAAATTCTTTAACATCGAAATAACTTTTTCCAAGAAGATATAAATCATATTCTAATTGATCTATTTTTGTCATTTCAAGATTTTGTTGAGGAGTAAATTTATCTTGTGAATTATCCATGCTACTTGAACCATCAGATTGTATAAAATCACTTGTATCTATCGTTGATAATGTTTCGGCAGCCCTATAATAATATTTATAAATAAATTATCAATAATGTTTTTTTCATTTTTATAAAAAAAAAAAAGACAA